GGATCACAAAGTCACCACACATTCCGAGCACAAGTTCAAAGGCCACAAGGCCAGTTCACATGCAAGATCATATATAGAGATATACAAGAGTCAAGCAAGCAAGAACAAGAGTATATATAGGTGAAGGTACAAGCAAGGTCAAGAAGTGAGCAAGTGAGGCAAGACAGGCACAAGACCTAGCTGCGTGCAGCAACGCTGATGATCACAAGGCGCAAGTGCCTTGGTGAAGACATCAGCAGTGTTGGCCTCGGAGGCCACGTACGCAAGTCGCAACTATCCACGCTGCTGCAGCTCACGAGCAAGAAAGTAGCGGAGAGCAATGTGCTTTGTCCTGTGCTCCAGTCGCTGCTCTCGACACAAGGCCAGCATGGCCTTGTTGTCTACGTACAGGACTGGAGGAGAACGAGGCGGCTCTCCAAGGTCGGTCAGCAGGTAGGTGAGCCAGCGTAACTCCTGTGCAGCCATAGCCCCGGCGTAGATCTCAGCCTCACAACTGGAGCCGAGAACAGAAGACGAGCGAGTAGCCCGCCACGAAACAGAGCCGGAACCAAGGCCGAAGGAGTAACCTTGTGACGACCGCTGCGTAGCCTGGTCGTCAGCCCAAGAAGCGTCCGCGTGCCCAGTGAGGACCACTGGACTGCGCCCTCCAAGCACTAGCCCCATGCCCGATGTACTGCACAAGTAGCGCAACACCCTCTTCGCTGCAGCCATGTGCTCTGGTCGGTGTCTCCCAAGAGCAACATAGCGTGCGAGAATGCTGAGAGGGTATGCAAGGTCAGGTCGTGTGCAGGTCATCAGGTACATGAGGCAGCCAACAAGCTCTGCATACGGGCCACTCGACTCTACGGACTCATCCGAAGGCAGAGCTGAGAGCGAGTGGCGAGTAGACAGAGGAGTGGCCTGAGGCGAGGAGTACGTGAAGCCGAAGCGCTGAAGGACCTGCTGCACCATGTGTGACTGAGTCAGGGTAATGGTGCGGCGTGCTCTGTCCCGGGTGATCTGCAAGCCAAGGTAGCTGCGCAGTTCACCCAGGTCAGTGCACGTGTGTCTCTTCTGCAGCTCGGACTTCACGTAGGCGAGTCCAGCAGTGTCCGCTGTGGCAAAGACCAAGTCGTCGACGTACACAAGGATGTAGAATGGCGGCAGAGAGGTGTCGGTGCGCAGAAACAGCGACGGGTCGGCAGTAGAAGGAGCAAACCCAAGAGCCGCAAGTGTAGTCCTCAGTGTGTCGTGCCACTCACGTGGTGCCTGGCGGAGACCGTAGACTGGACGCCGGAGACTCCACTGGGTACCAGGAGGGAAAGACCCAGTGAAGCCAGGTGGGCGACGCAGCCAGATCTCCTCGTGCAGGCTGCCCTGCAAGAAAGCTGTGCTGAAGTCGAGAGAGTGCAGCTCGTAGTCGCGGTGAGCAGCAACGTGCAGCAGTACCCGAAGAGTGGTCATCTTCGGGGTGGGGGAGAAGGTCTGAAAGTAGTCAACTCCCTGCCGCTGACTGAAGCCACGAGCCACGTAACGCGCCTTGAAGACAGGCGGAGAGCCCGGCGGCCGCTTCACCCTGAAGATCCACATGCCACCGACGATGTTCGCCCCAGGAGGGGGAACAGCGTCAACGTAGGTGCCTGTGGACTTCCAGGAAGCCATCTCTGCATCCATAGCTGCCTGCCACTGAGAGGAGTAGGGACCCTCTATCGCCTCCGCGTAAGAGCGCGGAGTCGGGACGCGTCTCCTGGTTACAGTTGTCACTGACCCTTCCTTTGAGTCCACTGCTGCGTCTCCCTTAGTTGCTGAGCTTGTCGACTTTGCTGCTCGCTGTCGTCTAGACTACGCCGCTAGTCTTGTTGCTGAGTCTGAGTCTGTCTGTCCTCCGTCCGTCGGGGGTGAGTATGCTCTTACAACGGACGTCCTTGAGGACAGGCAGGAGGAGTTCTAGTGTTTTGCTGCTGCTTTGCCTCATCTCGTGCCCATGCTGATTGCCCCTGAGGGAGACCCGGATGCACCAGACATCCCGACTCCTCGATCGTACGCTGAGGCGATCGAGGGTCCCTACTCTCTCACAGTGGCAGTCAGCCATGGACGCAGAGATGGCTTCCTGGAAGTCCACACGCACCTACGTCGACGAAATTCCCCCACCTAGGGCGAACATCGTCAGTGGCATGTGGATTTTCAGGGTGAAGCGGCCGCCGGGCTCTCCGCCTGTCTTCAAGGCGTGTTACGTGGCTCGAGGCTTCAGTCAGCGGCAGGGAGTTGACTACTTTCAGACCTTCTCTCCCACCCCGAAGATGACCACTCTTCGGGTGCTGCTGCACATAGCCGCTCAGCGCGACTACGAGCTTCATTCTCTTGACTTCAGCACAACTTTCTTGCAGGGCAGCCTGCACGAGGAGATTTGGTTGCGCCGCCTCCCTGGCTTCACTAGGTCGTTTCCTCCTCGTACCCAGTCGAGCCTCCGGCGGCCAGTCTACGGTCTCCGCCAGGCGCCCCGTGAGTGGCACGACACACTGAGGACTACACTTGCGGCTCTTGGGTTTGCTCCTTCTACTGCCGACCTGTCGTTGTTTCTGCGCACCGACACCTCTTTACCGCCGTTCTACATCATCGTGTACGTCGACGACTTGGTCTTTGCCACTGCTGACACTGCTGGACTCGCCCACGTGAAGTCTGAGCTGCAAAAGAGACACACGTGCACAGACCTGGGTGAACTGCGTAGCTACCTTGGCTTGTAGATCACCCGGGACAGAGCACAGCGCACCATTACCCTGACTCAGTCACACATGGTGCAGCAGGTCCTTCAGCGCTTCGACTTCACGTACTCCTCGCCTCAGGCCACTCCTCTGTCTACTCGCCACTCGCTCTCAGCTCTGCCTTCGGATGAGTCCGTAGAGCCGAGTGGCCCGTATGCAGAGCTTGTTGGCTGCCTCATGTACCTGATGACCTGCACACGACCTGACCTTGCATACCCTCTTAGCATCTTGGCACGCTATGTTGCTCCTGGGAGACACCGACCAGAGCACATGGCTGCAGCGAAGAGGGTGTTGCACTACTTGTGCAGTACGTCAGGCATGGGGCTAGTGCTTGGAGGGCGGCGTTCAGTGGTCCTCACCGGTCATCAGACGCTTCTTGGGCCGACGACCAGGCTACGCAGCGGTCGTCACAGGGTTACACCTTCAGTCTTTGTTCCGGCTCTGTTTCGTGGCGGTCCACCCGCTCGTCTTCTGTTCTCGGCTCCAGGTGTGAGGCTGAGATCTACGCGGGGGCCATGGCTGCACAGGAGCTATGCTGGCTCACATACCTGCTGACTGACCTGGGAGAGCCGCCTCGTTCTGCTCCAGTTCTGTACGTAGACAACAAGGCCATGCTGGCCTTGTGTCGGGAGCACAGACTGGAGCACACAACGAAGCACATTGCTCTTCGTTACTTCCTTGCTCGTGAGCTGCAGCAGCGTGGTCAGCTGCGCCTTGCTTACGTGGCCTCTCAGGCCAACACTGCTGATATTTTTACCAAGGCACTTCCGCCTTGTGATCATCAGCGCTGCTCTACGATGCTAGGTCTTGTGCCTACTTGGCCTCACTTGCTCAGTTCTTGACCTTGCTTGTACTGTGATCTATCTATACCTGCACTTGCTTATTTACCTTTATATATGATCTTGCATGTGAACTGGCCTTGTGGCCTTTGAACTTGTGCTCGGAATGTGTGGTGACGTTGTGATCCACCCTGAGCTTGCTTTGCTTTTCTTGACTAGTCTTGTGACCTCTTGTTCTCCCCCACTTTGTCTATGGGGGTGTGTCAAACTTATATGCTATAGTCTGTGTAGGCTGTCGTGGGGTAGACAATATGGGGTACAACACTTTTAGGTTTTCCTACTTGTACCCACCTGTTTCCCAGTGCATTCACTTCCTCGTTCTTTCACAGCAAATGGCCAAGTTTCTTGAAGAAGAAACGGTGAGCATAGACTCTACGACAACATATCAAACTTTCAACATGTGGTGGAAAGTGCATGGTGCACGATTCCCCATTGTTGCAAAGATGGCACACCACTACCTTGCAATTCTGGCAACTTCCGCCGAATCGGAACGCACCTTCTCCACTGCACGTCGTCTCATCACCGGTTATCTTCATTGCCTTGATCCGTGTCTTGTGTCATGATTTGAGCTCACATGCATGGAGTGGTAGTTTAGTATTTGTTATTGAGGATATGTGCTTGTTGTTGTATGCTATGCTAAGTGCAACACAAGTGTAGTTGTATAACAGGATTGAATGTAGCAAAAAAAAAAAGGCATACCAAGTTTATAAGGTCGTACTCGATACTCGACTCGTATTCGAACGTATTCGGCAACATTCAACCCGTATTCGACTCGTATAAAACGATGGTATTCGATCAAATACTTTCTCTACAACGCTAAATATTCGTCAAAGTTACTCGTCGACTCGGTTATTCGTTTTTCACCCTTTACCTAAGGCTAATGAGAGGTCATGGCGGGCCCTCACCTTTTGTGGTTGGGTTGTTGTTGAGTGAGTTGTGTTTTGGTACACAAACTCCACTGTGGTCCCTACAAGTTCCCAAACCTGTTTCCTTCACGCACTACTGGCAGGGGGAACACCTAGTCACTCTTTGCAGTGGTTGGGGCAAAAATTTGTTGCCTCCCATGCCCAACCACAAACCCAGTAACCATCCATCCCTTTGCCTCTACCCCCCCCAAATTGTACCATTGCTTTAATGGGCCTCGTCGCATATGATCTTGGACGTGCCGTTTACAGGACGATTCTCGCAAATCGTGGTGAACATTTCTTTCTGGAAAAACGCTTGGCCAGAAACATGTGCCCCCTGAAAACCGTCCATTGGGGGAAAAGCTATGTAGATCAAACATTCCGTTGCCGGGACTTGAACCCGGGTCTCTCGGGTGAGAGCCGAGTATCCTAACCGACTAGACTACAACGGATGTCACCAACTTTTAACACAAAAATAATGACCTATGTGTTTTTCTGCAATTCTGCCGCTCACGATGACGTTTTCCCATGCGGTTGTGATGACGTCGTCTCTCTCCGTCGCCCTGCACGGGGGCGGTCGCGTGCTCAGCATTCAGTCACATACCGTCCAGGTATCCGTTGCATGCAGTCGTACACTGCCCAGGTATCCTTCGCATTCTGTCGCAGACCGTGTTGGTCACCGTCGCATTCACCTGCCCTCACAGTCCAGATAGCAAACGATACCGACGTCGTTACTCTACCCCGGCGTAGGCAATGCAAAGCAGCGTTTTTACGTTACGTAGGGTAACCCTACGGTAGCCAAAGCAACCGCCGGTGGCCGAGAGTCCCTCTCAGGTGTCTCTCAGACGCCCCTCTCAAGTGACTCTCAGGTTACCCTCTCAGGTGTCTCTCAGGTGCCCATCTCAGGTGTCCATCTCGGGTGCCCCTTTCAGGTGCCCCACTCAGGTGTTTCTCAGGCGCCCATCTCAGGTGTTTCTCAGGCGCCCCTCTCAGGTATTTTCTCAGGGGGTCCCTCTCAGGCTTCTCTCAGCTGTTCCTTTCAGCTGCCCCTCTCAGGTGTCTCTCAGGTTCCCCTCTCAGGTGCCCATCCCAGGTGTCTCTCCAATGTCTCTCAGGTGCTTGCTTAGTACGACCATGCGAAGTCTGGTATGAAGCTCTGAGTGTCTCGGTCATGCATCAAGTGTAATGAAGCATGGGCTCATGCGAACGCGTGTGTGATGGCGTGTGTCTGCATTGAGTGTATGAGTGTATGTATATACATGCATACATATATCTATCTATATACATATTTATATTTATACATCTATGTGTTTAAACCCTGACACTTCGGTCACATATCTATATTGCTTCGTACCCGGTCCATGCGTCAGAACTATGTGGGTGGGCAGCAAGGTGGCCAGGTTCCCCCGGCAGCTGCTCCTGATGTTGCAGGGTGTTTTTGAGAATTCTCAAAAACTCCATGCGTCAGAGCTATGTGGGTGGGTAGCAATGTGGCCGTGTTCCCCCAGCCCGGCAGCTGCTCCTGCTGGGAAGCGAATGGCATGCTTTGCTTACCATCCAAGGCGCCTGTGTTTCCCTTGCCCGTGCTCCGGAGTTCTCGAGAGAAACCCCAATGTATGTGGGCAACAAGGTGGCCGCGTTCCCCCCTGCAGCTGCTCTGCTCCTAATGGCGTGCTCATGGCCCCACAGAAAACCTGAGAGAAACCCTGAGAGAAACCCTAAACCCAGTGTACCCCTGTTGCCTGCCCATGCGGTAGGGCTATGTGGGCCACAAGGCGGCCTTGTTCCTCCTGCAGCTGCTCTGATCCGAATGGCGTTCCCATGTTGGAACAGAAAACCCAACAGAGACACCTAAAGAAACTCCAACCCCAAACCCCTTGTACCCTGTTGGCTATGCGTGAATGCACCAGGGGTATGTGGGCAACAAGGCGGCGGTCTTCCCCCTGCAACTGCTGGGCTTCGATGTGGACCCCATCAATTCTGTGCAACTCTCCAACCACACTGGTGCGCATGTTGGTAACCACACTGGTGCGCATGTTGGTAACCACACTGGTGCGCATGTTGGTAACCACACTGGTGCGCATGTTGGTAACCACACTGGTGCGCATGTTGGTAACCACACTGGTGCGCATGTTGGTAACCACACTGGTGCGAATGTTTGTAACCAACCACACTGGTGCGCATGTTGGTAACCGCACTGGTGCGAATGTTGGTAACCGCACTGGTGCCAATAGTGGTAACGGCACTGGTGCGGGACCGGCGGTTGTCCATCCCATCTGGGTGCGTGCCTGCTGCCCCAGGGTCCATCACTCCTCCCACCTCACCACATGCCCCATGCATCTGTCCCATTCGTGCTGCTGCTGCAGGGTACCCCACGTGGAAGGGGCAGACACTGGACGGAGAGCAGTGCAGGTGTGGTTGGTGACAGAGGGGCACACCTCATGTGACTCGCACCATGCCCCCATGCACCCCACCCATCCCATCCATTCCCCAGGCTACCCCACGTAGAAGGGGCGGATACTGCCCCACGTGGAAGGGGAGGATACTGCCCCACGTGGAAGGGGCGGATACTGTACGAGGAGCAGCTGTGGGCAGTGAGAGAGGCGCATGCCTCATGCGGCTCCCAGCATGCCCCATGCATCGCTCCCATCCCGTGCGTGCAGGCTAGCCCACGTGGAAGGGGCAGATACTGAGTGGGGAGCAGCTGTGGGCGCTGATAGAGGGGCTGGGATAGCGCCTGTGCATCCTGAGCCTTGGAGCAGCAGCCTGGGTGCGTGCTGGGTGCATGCACCCTCAAGCAGCCTGGGTGCGTGCTGGGTGGATGCACCCTCTAGCAGCCTGGGTGCGTGCTGGGTGCATGCACCCTCTAGCAGCCTGGGTGCGTGCTGGGTGCATGCACCCTCTAGCAGCCTGGGTGCGTGCTGGGTGCATGCACCCTCTAGCAGCCTGGGTGCGTGCTGGGTGCATGCATGCACCCTCTAGCAGCCTGGGTGCGTGCTGGGTGCATGCACCGTCTAGCAGCCTGGGTGCGTGCTGGGTGCATGCACCCTCTAGCAGCCTGGGTGCGTGCTGGGTGCATGCACCCTCTAGCAGCCTGGGTGCGTGCTGGGTGCATGCACCCTCTAGCAGCCTGGGTGCGTGCTGGGTGGATGCACCCTCTAGCAGCCTGGGTGCGTGCTGGGTGCATGCACCCTCTAGCAGCCTGGGTGCGTGCTGGGTGCATGCACCCTCTAGCAGCCTGGGTGCGTGCTGGGTGCATGCACCCTCTAGCAGCCTGGGTGCGTGCTGGGTGCATGCACCCTCTAGCAGCCTGGGTGCGTGCTGGGTGCATGCACCCTCTAGCAGCCTGGGTGCGTGCTGGGTGCATGCACCCTCAAGCAGCCTGGGTGTGTGCTGGGTGCATGCACCCTCTAGCAGCCTGGGTGCGTGCTGGGTGCATGCACCCTCTAGCAGCCTGGGTGCGTGCTGGGTGCATGCACCCTCTAGCAGCCTGGGTGCGTGCTGGGTGGATGCACCCTCTAGCAGCCTGGGTGCGTGCTGGGTGCATGCACCCTCTAGCAGCCTGGGTGCGTGCTGGGTGCATGCACCCTCTAGCAGCCTGGGTGCGTGCTGGGTGCATGCACCCTCAAGCAGCCTGGGTGCGTGCTGGGTGCATGCACCCTCTAGCAGCCTGGGTGCGTGCTGGGTGCATGCACCCTCTAGCAGCCCGGGTGCGTGCTGGGTGCATGCACCCTCTAGCAGCCTGGGTGCGTGCTGGGTGCATGCACCCTCTAGCAGCCTGGGTGCGTGCTGGGTGCATGCACCCTCAAGCAGCCTGGGTGCGTGCTGGGTGCATGCATGCACCCTCTAGCAGCCTGGGTGCGTGCTGGGTGCATGTACCCTCTAGCAGCCTGGGTTCGTGCTGGGTGCATGCACCCTCTAGCAGCCTGGGTGCGTGCTAGGTGCATGCACCCTCTAGCAGCCTGGGTGCGTGCTGGGTGCATGCACCCTCTAGCAGCCTGGGTGCGTGCTGGGTGCATGCACCCTCTAGCAGCCTGGGTGCATGCTGGGTGCATGCACCCTCTAGCAGCCTGGGTGCGTGCTGGGTGCATGCATGCACCCTCTAGCAGCCTGGGTGCGTGCTGGGTGCATGCACCCTCTAGCAGCCTGGGTGCGTGCTGGGTGCATGCACCCTCTAGCAGCCTGGGTGCGTGCTGGGTGCATGCACCCTCTAGCAGCCTGGGTGCGTGCTGGGTGCATGCACCCTCTAGCAGCCTGGGTGCATGCTGGGTGCATGCACCCTCTAGCAGCCTGGGTGTGTGCTGGGTGCATGCACCCTCTAGCAGCCTGGGTGCGTGCTGGGTGCATGCACCCTCTAGCAGCCTGGGTGCGTGCTGGGTGCATGTACCCTCTAGCAGCCTGGGTTCGTGCTGGGTGCATGCACCCTCTAGCAGCCTGGGTGCGTGCTAGGTGCATGCACCCTCTAGCAGCCTGGGTGCGTGCTGGGTGCATGCACCCTCTAGCAGCCTGGGTGCGTGCTGGGTGCATGCACCCTCTAGCAGCCTGGGTGCATGCTGGGTGCATGCACCCTCTAGCAGCCTGGGTGCGTGCTGGGTGCATGCATGCACCCTCTAGCAGCCTGGGTGCGTGCTGGGTGCATGCACCCTCTAGCAGCCTGGGTGCGTGCTGGGTGCATGCACCCTCTAGCAGCCTGGGTGCGTGCTGGGTGCATGCACCCTCTAGCAGCCTGGGTGCGTGCTGGGTGCATGCACCCTCTAGCAGCCTGGGTGCATGCTGGGTGCATGCACCCTCTAGCAGCCTGGGTGTGTGCTGGGTGCATGCACCCTCTAGCAGCCTGGGTGCGTGCTGGGTGCATGCACCCTCTAGCAGCCTGGGTGTGTGCTGGGTGCATGCACCCTCTAGCAGCCTGGGTGTGTGCTGGGTGCATGCACCCTCCAGCAGCCTGGGTGCGTGCTGGGTGCATGCACCCTCTAGCAGCCTGGGTGCGTGCTGGGTGCATGCACCCTCCAGCAGCCTGGGTGCGTGCTGGGTGCATGCACCCTCTAGCAGCCTGGGTGCGTGCTGGGTGCATGCACCCTCTAGCAGCCTGGGTGCGTGCTGGGTGCATGCACCCTCTAGCAGCCTGGGTGCGTGCTGGGTGCATGCACCCTCCAGCAGCCTGGGTGCGTGCTGGGTGCATGCACCCTCTAGCAGCCTGGGTGCGTGCTGGGTGCATGCACCCTCTAGCAGCCTGGGTGCGTGCTGGGTGCATGCATCCTCTAGCAGCCTGGGTGCGTGCTGGGTGCATGCACCCTCTAGCAGCCTGGGTGTGTGCTGGGTGCATGCACCCTCTAGCAGCCTGGGTGCGTGCTGGGTGCATGCACCCTCTAGCAGCCTGGGTGTGTGCTGGGTGCATGCACCCTCTAGCAGCCTGGGTGTGTGCTGGGTGCATGCACCCTCTAGCAGCCTGGGTGCGTGCTGGGTGCATGCACCCTCTAGCAGCCTGGGTGTGTGCTGGGTGCATGCACCCTCTAGCAGCCTGGGTGTGTGCTGGGTGCATGCACCCTCTAGCAGCCTGGGTGTGTGCTGGGTGCATGCACCCTCTAGCAGCCTGGGTGCGTGCTGGGTGCATGCACCCTCTAGCAGCCTGGGTGCGTGCTGGGTGCATGCACCCTCTAGCCGCCTGGGTGTGTGCTGGGTGCATGCACCCTCTAGCAGCCTGGGTGCGTGCTGGGTGCATGCACCCTCTAGCAGCCTGGGTGTGTGCTGGGTGCATGCACCCTCTAGCAGCCTGGGTGTGTGCTGGGTGCATGCACCCTCTAGCAGCCTGGGTGCGTGCTGGGTGCATGCACCCTCTAGCAGCCTGGGTGTGTGCTGGGTGCATGCACCCTCTAGCAGCCTGGGTGTGTGCTGGGTGCATGCACCCTCTAGCAGCCTGGGTGTGTGCTGGGTGCATGCACCCTCTAGCAGCCTGGGTGCGTGCTGGGTGCATGCACCCTCTAGCAGCCTGGGTGTGTGCTGGGTGCATGCACCCTCTAGCAGCCTGGGTGCGTGCTGGGTGCATGCACCCTCTAGCAGCCTGGGTGCGTGCTGGGTGCATGCACCCTCTAGCAGCCTGGGTGTGTGCTGGGTGCATGCACCCTCTAGCAGCCTGGGTGTGTGCTGGGTGCATGCACCCTCTAGCAGCCTGGGTGTGTGCTGGGTGCATGCACCCTCTAGCAGCCTGGGTGTGTGCTGGGTGCATGCACCCTCTAGCAGCCTGGGTGTGTGCTGGGTGCATGCACCCTCTAGCAGCCTGGGTGCGTGCTGGGTGCATGCACCCTCTAGCAGCCTGGGTGCGTGCTGCTGCTCCAGGGTCACCAGACGCGCGTGCTGCTGCTCAGTCCTCCCACCTCACCAGACGCCCCAGTGCAGTTACCAACATGCGTGCTGTTGCAGGCTACCCCACGTGGAAGGGGCGGATACTGGATGGGGAGGGGAGCAGAGCAGCTGTGGGCGCTGATAGAGGGGTGAGCGAGGCGCGTGCCTGGCTGGCACGACGGGGCAGATCCTGGTAGGAGAGCAGAGGCGGTGTGGGCAGTGAGAGACGGGTACACCTCATGCGAATCCCACCACGTGCCGATGCATCATGGCCCATGCACCATGGCCCATGCGCCATGACCCATGCATCCCATCCCATTCTCCAGGCTACCCCACGTGGAAGGGGCAGATTCTGGATGGAGAGCAGCTGTGGGCGCTGATAGAGGGCCTGGAGGCCAATGGGCTGCTCTTCTACACGCACCTGCTCACCGGTGTGTGCACTTGTTGGTGGCGTGTGTGATGAAAGGAGCATGCATGTTGAGTCGACTCAAAAGAAGCTCAGATCGGTCAACCCCAAGCTGACACTGACGCACCTCATCCCAACCACTCACACCTCAATCTCGGTTGCATAATCAACCTCCCTCTTCTCTCCCCCTCCCATCAGGCTACATCGGGTCGCTCTCCTTCCTGAAAACTGTTCTACGGGTTGTGGAGAAGCTAAGATCAGTCAACCCCAACCTAATATATGGTACTTTCTGGGTTTACCCCAAGCTGATAATGGACGGTTATTTCTTAGTTCACCCTGACTCTAGATACAATACTCCATGGGTTAGCCTTAGCCTGATATATGGTACTTTATGGGGTAACCCCCATTCTGATATACGGTACTTTATGGGGTAACCCCCATTCTGATACATGGTACTGTATTGAGTAACCCCCATTCTGATATATGGTACTTTATAGGGTAAACCCCAATTCTCATAAATGGTATTTTATGGGGTAACCCCCATCCTGATAAACGGTACTTTATGGGGTAACCCCCATTCTGATACATGGTACTGTATGGTATGGAGTAACCCCCATTCTGATATATGGTACTTTATGGGGTAATCCCCATGCTGATACATGGTAATTTATGGAGTAACCCTCATTCTGATATATGGTATTTTATGGGGTAACCCCCATTCTGATACATGGTACTTTATGGGGTAACCCGATTCTCATATCTGGTACTTTATGGGGTAACCCCCATTCTGATACATGGTACTTTATGGTCCTCCTGTCCCCATCTGTCTCGTCTTTACCCCCGGTCCTCTCCTGTCCCCAGTTCTTTACACTTTCTCCTTATTCTTCTTGCGTCTCACCTCTCTTGGTGTGTTTTGAAGTGCAATCTTGGTGTGATGTGATCCCGCAATCTTCTCCTCCCTATGTGCGGTCTAGTCATGCTGCTGCTGCTTTTCTCGCATCTACCCATCTCTCTGCCCGTCCTCCGCTTGTCTCACATCCCCACATCGATCCGAATGGGCTTGTCTCACAAAGGCTGCCTCCATCCGCATCGCTGCTTTCCCTTTCCATCTCTCTCCATACCACCTCTCTTCTCCTCACCGTAATGGACCTCTCAAAGGCCTGCTGCCTGCTCCCCTCTCTCCCCCTCACCCATTCTCTGCCTCCCATCCCTCTCCAGTTTCCTTCCTCGCCCCAATCTCTCTCCCCCAATGTCTCCTCCCCATCCCTTCTCTCCCCGTCACAGTGTGCGATCCAGTGATGGGGGACGACGGTCGTCTCTACATTCGCCCCGAGCTCGTCCCCATCTACCGCCACCAGGTGCCACCTCCTCTTGCCGTAAGCGTGTTCTGCGAGGTCTCACAAAACCGCCAGCAGGTGCCACTCACACCTGTTCCTTTGAGAGCCACATCCACGTGTTCACATCCACGTGTTCACATCCACGTGCCACCTCCTCTCGCTGTATTGTGTTCTGTCTGAAAGGAACCGACAGCAGGTGTCGTGTCGTGACATCCACGCCTGCCCTATTCATGCCTTGAAAGTGCTATGCAAATTCTCAGAAACGCCTGCAGTTGCCATCTGTCTCACAGAACTGACACCAGGTGCCATGCCATTCGCACCAGCCCTGTTCATGCTGTGAGTTTGATTTGAGAATACAAAAAAAAAAAAAACCAACGCATCAAGTGCCCTTGACACCTGCCCTGCACACCTGCCCTACACACCTGCCCTCTATGCGTCTCTCTGTGATGAATCTAACTACCCTATTGTTGGGTGTGCGCCTTCCCTCAACGCGGCATCCATCTAGCAGCTGACAGACAGACAACCAATCTCTCAACATCTGTGTATCGTTCTGGGCTCTCATCCCCGTTGCTCAGTGCGTGCTGCTGTGCTGCATGGCAGGTGGTCCCAGTGGCGACGCTCATCACGCCAAACCAATTCGAAGCAGAGCAGCTCACAGGCCTCAGGTGAATGGCTCGGTACTCTACCAGGTTCCTACTTAGCAACTTGTTCTTTGCATTATGTTGCGCTCAGGTTTGAAGTGGATTGGTGCGATGAGAGTCTCTCAACTGCTTTGAGGTACAGCAAATCACAGGCCTCACAACCCTGAGCAGGTCTTAACTCAAAGGCTTCAGGTGAATTGATATGCTCTTGCTACCTGCTCCTCTCCTCGCCTTGTTCTCCTTACCTTGCTGAGAATCATAAATGTCGATATTGATGACTCAAAAAGCATATCTGATCCGGCATTTGTTTTGCCGTGCTGTGCTGTGCCGTGCCGTGCCGTGCCGTGCCGTGCCGTGCCGTGCCGTGCCGTGCCGTGCCGTGCCGTGCCGTGCCGTGCCGTGCCGTGCCGTGCCGTGCCGTGCTGTGCTGTGCTGTGCTGTGCTGTGACCTGCATCCAATCACAGACTTCAATCTATAGGTGCCACAACACTCGCCCACTCACTAACCAAACTCCCTGCACACGTGGCGTTTAGGCATTGCCAGTCCAAACTCACTGCTTCCCTCCCCCCCTCCCTCCCAGCGGCCAAACTAAGCAGCTGCCATCACTGCATGAGACATGCTGCATGTTGCAGGGCCCAGGAAGGTGAATGTGCATGGCATTGCCACAGGGGGGAGCGAATGTAGAATTGCTGATACTGGCACTGTTGAGGCGCCTCAAAAGTCTGATACAAGCACTGCATGTGCACCCCTTCTCCCCTCCATTTCCATCCTCCCCTGCCTCCTTCCCTCCCTCGCAGCATCCGGACTCAAGCAGACGCCATCACTGCATGTGACATGCTGCACGCAGCAGGGCCCAGAAAGGTATGGATGGCTACAGGGGAGGAAGAACAGTGGGTAGGTAGGTGAGGGGGACTTTTGAGACGTCTCAAAAGTCGTCTACTTACACACGTAGGTAGGTGAGGGGGACTTTCTGGAATCTCTTTAGTGGTTCGAACAAACGTGTGGCAGTGGATTAGCATGATGCTTGATGCTGCAGGGCTTAGAAAGGTATGCGTGGCTACAGGGGAGGAAGGACAGTGGTCTAGGGAGTTTCGGGGATTTCAAAAGTGTTTTGAATGCAAGTATGATAACGGTGTGGATGGGTATGATGTTGCCCGCTGTATGGCCCAGAAAGGTATCGCATTGAGTCGGTTCAGATCATCTAAGCTTATTAGGGGGGTGGGGTTGGGGGAAGGAGGAGGGGGAGGGGGGAAGGGGGGGGAGGGGAGAGGGAGAGAAAAGACAGCCCTGCTGAGGATGGCATGGTGGGCGTGCTGACGTCATGGTTTGCTTGCTGGCGTTCCGTTGCTGCTGCGAGAGGGGAAGGACAATCCACGAGTTTTCCGGCCGAATTGATTTACCAGCAACGGCTGAATTGATTTACCCAGTAACAACTCCTCACGATCCATGAGGTGGTGATGGTAAGGCATGCGGATGAAGGAGCAGGAGGGTGAAGAAACGCCTCTTTCAACTCCTCTCAACCACTGTCACACACCCCACAACACTCCTATCAGGTGATGGCCGGCTGCTGGTGGTGGAGGGGTGATGTCCCACGAAGCACTCTTGCCTCTCTAGAACCTGCTCAACCCCTTTCAACCTCTTTCAATCACATTGATTTATTGTGGACACCACACAACAAGCTGATCAGGTGGTGCTCACGAGCACTGAGGTAAATGGCCAGCTGGTGGTGGTGGAGGGGAGTGTGCCTTGATAAGTAGCGCATCTCTCAAGCCCACTCCACTGCATTCAACCACTTTCAACCGCTCTCATCTACTGGTGATCATTAGCAACGCTCCCAGCTGGTGATGGCGGAGGGGATTGGTTTTGCATGGGCAAGGCCCTCTCTTAAACCTGCTCCATCCCTTTCAACCGCTTTCAACCACTCCGTTCAGGTGGTGATCACAAGCATGGAGGTGGATGGGCGGCTGCTGGTAGTGGGGAGTGACGCCAGCAGCCCTGCTGGAGAGGAGGTGAGTGAGGTGAGGCGGCATGAGGGTATCTGTCTGGTGGTGGAGGTGTGCTTTGAGTCACCAGGTGTCCAACCACTCAATCACATCTGCTTGGCGTGACGCCAGCAGCCATGCTGCAGAGCAGGTGAGTGAGAAGGCATGGGGAGCTGGTGGTAGGTGAGAGGAAGTGAGTGAGAGGAAATGAGTGAGAGGCAGTGAGTGAGAGGAAATGAGTGAGAGGAAGTGAGTGAGAGGAAATGAGTGAGAGGAAGTGAGTGAGAGGAAATGAGTGAGAGGAAGTGAGTGAGAGGAAATGAGTGAGAGGAAGTGAGTGAGAGGAAATGAGTGAGAGGAGGTGAGTGAGAGGAAATGAGTGAGAGGAGGTGAGTGAGAGGAAATGAGTGAGAGGAGGTGAGTGAGAGGAAGAGGAGTGTCTTTCTGGTAGTTGGGGTGCGTTTCGAGTCGACTCAGAGAAGTGGTGCCAGCAGCCCTGCTGCAGAGCAGGAGAGAGATATGGGCCCCCTTGTCTTGACAATGGAAAGCAGATATCTGTTTTGCTTCAATTTCTTTCTATCACTCATTATCCTCTTTGTTTGCACCAGCCATTGCCACCCTCACATACACTACCCTATCTTACTCCCTTTCCAATTCTGACATTCTGGCCGGCATTTGAACAAACACTCTATTCAGGAGGGCTCTGAACAGCGTTCTTTGCAGCGGTTCTGCATCGCAGTGCCCAAGATACCACACTACTTTACTGTATGGCGCTCCATTAATAGCTTTGAAGCAGCACGTGGCACATGGTTATGCAATCTGTCTCACACTTTCTGTGCCTCTTACCATGTCCCGTGTCCCACACAGCACCAGCTTTACAACATCACATATCACCAGCCTTACAACATCACATATCACCAGCCTTACATCATCACATATCACCAGCCTTACATCATCACACATCACCAGCCTTACAACATCACATATCACCAGCCTTACATCATCACATATCACCAGCCTTACATCATCACATATCACCAGCCTTACATCATCACATATCACCAGCCTTACATCATCACATATCACCAGCCTTACATCATCACACATCACGCATCACCAGCCTCACAACATGCCATTTTCACATGGATTTCGACGTGCTACTCCGCATGCCATTGCATATACCACACCAAATGCCATCTGACATACCATATCACATGCCATTGCATATACCACACCACATGCCATTTGACATACTACCATGTCACATGCCTGACATATCCCATCCAACGTACCATACCACATGCCATCCCACGTGAACGGCACACGTGCAGGGAACGGGAGATTTGATGACCGCATTGCTGCTTGGATGGTCACATGTGAGTGGGGCAGTGGCATGTGAGTGGGGCAGTGGCATGGCAGGAGTCTCATTGCATCGCAATCCTTCATCAGTCTTCTGGTGACATCTCTCAGCTCTGTTACACAGCACTCTGGTGCTTACATAGCACTCTGATGCTTACATAGCACTCTACTGCTTACACAGCACTCTGCTGCTTACACAGCACTCTGCTGCTTACATAGCACTCTGCTGCTTACACAGCACTCTGCTGCTTACATAGCACTCTGCTGCTTACACAGCACTCTGCTGCTTACACAGCACTCTGCTGCTTACATAGCACTCTGCTGCTCACATAGCACTCTGCTGCTTACATAGCACTCTGCTGCTCACATAGCACTCTGCTGCTTACATAGCACTCTGCTGCTGACATAGCACTCTGCTGCTTACACAGCACTCTGCTGCTTACATAGCACTCTGCTGCTTACAGAGCACTCTGCTGCTTACATAGCACTCTGCTGCTTACACAGCACTCTGCTGCTTACACAGCACTCTGCTGCTTACACAGCACTCTGCTGCTTACATAGCACTCTGCTGCTTACACAGCACTCTGCTGCTTACATAGCACTCTGCTGCTTACACAGCACTCTGCTGCTTACAGAGCACTCTGCTGCTCACATAGCACTCTGCTGCTTACATAGCACTCTGCTGCTTACATAGCACTCTGCTGCTTGCATAGCACTCTGCTGCTTACATAGCACTCTGCTGCTTACATAGCACTCTGCTGCTTACACAGCACTCTGCTGCTTACACAGCACTCTGCTGCTTACATAGCACTCTGCTGCTTACATAGCACTCTGCTGCTTACATAGCACTCTGCTGCTTACATAGCACTCTGCTGCTTACACAGCACTCTGCTGCTTACATAGCACTCTGCTGCTTACAGAGCACTCTGCTGCTTACACAGCACTCTGCTGCTTACATAGCACTCTGCTGCTTACATAGCACTCTGCTGCTTACATAGCACTCTGCTGCTTACATAGCACTCTGCTGCTTACATAGCACTCTGCTGCTTACATATCACTCTGCTGCTTACACAGCACTCTGCTGCTTACAGAGCACTCTGCTGCTCACATAGCACTCTGCTGCTTACATAGCACTCTGCTGCTTACATAGCACTCTGCTGCTTACATAGCACTCTGCTGCTTACATCGCCCTCTACTAGTTAAAACCCACTCTGCTGTTCATTCTTCCTGCTCTACCCATCCCATCCTCTCCCTCCCTCTCTCCCTCCCTCCCTCCCTCCCTCCCTCCCTCCCTCCTCCCTTCCTCCCTCCTTCAACAGAAGTATCCGCACGACTTGGCTAGAGCAGCGGAACTAGCAGTGGCATCTCTGCAGGTGAGCAGCTGCTGTTGCGCCTAGTGCCACTGCTTGATGCTGCTCTGCTGTGGTTTTTACACTCGTTTAGCTGTTCTGTTGCAGCAGCAGAGGTGGCAGTGGCATTGTTACAGGAGGTGAGCACCTGCTGCTGGTCCTGATGCAATTGGGTGTTGCCGCTGGGCTGTCCATGGCTTTGAGGCAAGCTATATCAGCAGAGTTGGCATTGGCAACCCGTGGCATTGCAACCTTCCTGACCTGATTGCTCCTCTCCTCCCATTCTTTCTCCCTACAGGCTGTGCTCGCACGAACCCTGCAGCACCACTCTCCACCTCCGGACGGCACCGTTTCCTCTCTCACTCCCCCCACCCCCAAGCGCCTGGAGCTCTGCCTCATTCAGAGCCGCGATAACTTCAGCTTCTCCTCTCCCCCTCTCCCTCCCTGCAGGCTGTGCTCGCACGAACCTTGCAGCACCGCTCTCCACCTCTGGACGGCACCGAGTCCTCTCCCACTCCCCCCACTCCCAAGCGCCTGGAGCTCTGCCTCGTTCAGAGCCGTGACGACATTATAAGCCCGCCTGTTGTGTTACGTGCACAAGCGGTTGAAAGCGGTGTAGATGGTTTAGATGGATTGCAAGATGGTGAAAGTGCCTTGGTGAGCGGTGACAGTGTAGGGGTGCTGCAGGATAAGGGAGTTGATGCTCAGCTGACAACTGAGAGCTGAGTTGAATGTACTGTAAAAAGAGAACGCTCAACTGTTTTTGGCCGGGTGAGGCACTTTCCTGAGCACAATTAACACCAAGAAAAGGACCAGGCGGAAATCGAACCAACAAGGTGTTGCACATCAGTATTTGAATGAGAGAGTTATGCTATTGGTCCTGTGTTGAATGGAATTTGTTGTGTATTATTGTATTTGACAACGACGTGATTTTCAAGGTTGGACGTACTGAGCTCTCTTGTCAAGCATCATGGAGGACGCAGAGCCGCTGCGCGCGCTCTCCGCCCACATCGCGTAAAAACGGACCAGGCGGGTATCGCCCTTACTTAGTTTCCCTCAGCTTTCCGCTCTATCGCCGCGTTCCTTCCGTCCCTAGTCCCTCCCCGCGCTGCGCGCGCTCTCCGTCCACAGCGCGTGACGCGGACCGTACTTGTCTCCCGCCGAGTAGCCATGCAGGACGCAGAGGCGCGCCGCTCTCGCCTGCGCAGCATGCGCGAGTCCGCGGCGAAGCAGCAGGCGGCGTCCCCCGGCGCGCCCACGCCTTCCACCGCCATCTCCGCACTCCCCTCCCCCGACTTCTCTCCGCCGCTTATCCGCACGCATCCGCGCGTGCGCCATCCGGGGAAGGCGGACCTGGGGGAGGTAGATCTGCTAGACGGCCAGCAGGAGCAGCCACCACAGGCTCGGGGAATTTCTCACAGGCCTCATGTAAATATCTTCAAAGCTCTAGCGTGTTTGTCTTAAAGCCCTATCATTCTCAGCTTCCGAGGTACCTGATCTACCCTACTCCCCAGCACCACGAGTGTCAAGTGCTGCCGTTTATGACTCCCAAGGGGCCGGGCAGGGGGCAGGGCAAGGGGTAGGGCAAGGGGCAGGGCAAGGGACAGGGCAAGGGGGAGAGCAAGGGGGAGAACAAGGGGCAGAGGGGTCAGGGGAGGGGAGACCGGCCAGCGTGGACAGACAGTCAGTGAGGCAAGCGGTTGCGAGGGAGGGAGCCGTGCAAGAGGAAGTTTTTGACAATCTTTCCATGGTGCAGGTGAGCGGGGCGAAGAGAGAGAGAAGACAGGGGGGGGGGGTCTATTGTGCAGGTGTTTGTGAGAGGGGCGATTGAGAGGCGTCCGCACAAGAGGGAGTCGGCGACGTTCCTTACAAGGAGTAGGTGGGAAAGAAGCATATGAGATATGTGACAAACATCCGCTCTTGCCTGACAAGGACCTCATGTTAGGGAGCTGGTGGCGTTCATTACCAGGACCGTAATGAAGCATCTGAGATATGTGACAAACATCCGCTCTTGTGCTACTTAGGACCGTACTTCAAGGACCTTATATTTCTTCATTTGCTTACGATCCCTCTTGTTTCTTCCCGCCCCATATTTCTTCATTTTCCACCCTCTGCTTACACTTCCTCTATTGCTCGCCAACGCTCACATTCCATCCAGTTGTTCTCGAATCCACACCCAGGCATTCATGACTGCATCTCTCGCTTTCCCTCGTTTCTCCCCTCTTCTCACCCTTGCATTTCTCGCAACCCTCCCCCATTCTCTCCTATTTCTCTGCTCTTTCCCCCATCCTCCCCTCTCCCATTCTGCCTCTGCCCCAACCCAGCCACTCATCGCCGCCGCCCACAGTGCCGGGAGCAGAGGGGCCGCAGTGAGAGAGGATTCAGGAGGAGCGGTTACCACGAACGTGGAGGAGAGGC